AATCTGTTTGCTCATCAAGGGTGGTCTAAGTTCCTCTCTATTCCTCCACCTAAGGTCTATGAACCCCTGGTAAAGATGTTTTATGCTAATCTTCGCTCTAGTAAACCTGATAGGTTAGAATCCTTAGTGTTAGGTAAGCACATTGTTCTTGATTGTGCCTTGTTTTATTCTCTCTTTCACTGTAAATGTTCTGGGTTTCCTATGCTTTTCAAAAATACTTGGCCCGATGATTTTGAAATTTCCTTTGATCAAGCTAAACGGTGTATTGCTGAGTGTCCCTCTGAATCCCTTCCCAACCAGTTAGGCTCCAGTGATGTTAGTTTTGAAACTCGAGTCCTGGCTTACATTGTAGCAACTACTCTGCTTCCCCGCACTGGTTCCTTTTTCCACCTTCTCTCAAAGAGACAACTTCTTAGTATACTGCCTTGTGACCAAACTCAAAGTCAAGTTATCCTCCCGGGTCATTAATTTTATGATTGAAAGTGCAGAAGATCCAACCAGTCTACCCTATGGCATAGCCATCACTCACATCCTGGAAGCTCACCATATTTCCCTGTCCGATTATCCCTTTATCACTGTTTCAAAATCTTACAATTCTAGAGCCTTTGCAAGTATGGGATATGTGAGTGTGAAGGGGTTAAGAAGCACGAAGGTGATGTAAAGCATGCTCCTATAGATCCCAAACCTAAACCCCCTGCCTCTCATCACAGCCCTGGTGATCCTGATCTTGGTGAAAAGCTTCGTGCCATTGACATTCAACTCTCTGAGATCAAAAATCTCCTCACAGCCACTCAGTCAACTGTTGGTGACATTCATGCCATCTCCAAAGAAACAGGGTCTGATGTGTCCAAGATAAGACTTACCATTCTCAGAGTACGGGAGAATGCTGTCGAGGCTTTCAGGGAGATTCATGACATGTTGGATGGCGTGAGCATCTCAGCAAATGCTAGCTTTGAACAACTAAATGAGGCCATCTGCAACACTCTTACCTATTTTCTGCGTCGTTAATGTGGTTGTTTAAGACAATTTTTTTACTGTGCTATTTTTGGGCTGTTAACTCAGCCATTGGACAATTCTGTTTTTGTTTTATTTTGGTTATTTCTGTTTGGACTATAACTCTGTTGCATAATGCTATATATTCTATTTTAGTTCGTGGTTTGTTCTGTCTATTTCCTCTTTGCTGATGCCAAAAAAAGGGGGAGAAGAGTATATGTATCTGTATACAGGTATAGTCGACTGAAGGGCAAATGTACGCTAGCATCCTCTACGGCAGGAGTCGACTACAACATCTATAACCATGGACTAGTCAACTGCATGAACTGAGGGGGATTACTATGAACCTGTCAACCGCATACATTGAGGGGAAGTAAACACAGGGAAGTCAACTGTTGTTTATACATATATATTATTTTGTCATCATCAAAAAGGGGGAGATTGTTAGATCTGATTTTAATGATGCAAATAATATATCTGTGCAGGAAATCATGGATAACCATTCAAAGATGGAAGGAATCAATTAAGAGATGATCAAGGAATCAAGGAGTTACTACGAGATTGAAGAAATCAATCAGGAAGCTTAAGGAAAGAAATCAATTAGCAAAGATCACGAAATCAAGGGACAGCTACGATGGAAGAATCAAGCAAGCCTAAACTTAAGGCACCAATCAAGTCCATCATATTCAATCCGGAAGATTGAAGCAGACAAGAAGCATCGAGGATTCTATAAGATGATTAATCGAGCTGACCAACAATTAAGGAGTAAACCCACGTCATCAAGACCTGTAGAAGGAAAGCCATCAATGCCCTCTCATCAAGGAAGAGCAACGGCAAGTAACCTTATTCTTGAAAAGTATCAATCTCTTTCCAAACATCAAATCTCTCGAGTTGTCTAATCTCTTCAGCAAACGGCCTTCACCAAAGTATTTATACTCAGCATCAAGCCTTAGACAAACATACTTTGATCGAACCAAACACCCTCTCTTTGTTCTACTGCAAACAAACATTGTAGCTCTCTAAGACCTGCTGTGTAACAAGTTAGAGAAGAAAGAGAGAACAACACTGGTGAGGCATTGTATCGAAAGAGACGAGCGATATAGTAACTGAGCTATCATGGCATTTCTATTGTACTCGAACAAACACATTTACTAAAGAGAACTCCCTTGCAACCCAAGGGGACTGGACTAGGATTCACATTGAATGCGAACCAGTATAAAAATTCTGGTGTCTTTAATTCCTGCATTTACTTTCTGCATCTTATATTCTGCTATTACAACTGTTAGTTTATTGCATCTAGTCGACTAATTGAAAAACCAGTCAACTAACAGAGATTAAGTTTAAAGATATACAATTCACCCCTCTTGTACTTTCAATATTTCCCCCAATTATTATCTTAAGTGAAATATTTCCCCCAAGTTCTGAAGAGGCAAAGAGATCTTATTGAAATTTCCCAATCCCTTTCCGCGTACTCCGACTCCTCCGCCCGTTTGCAGTGACCTAGTCCATACAGTACAAAATATGGAGTTTCGGTAATGAAACTAACTGAGATAGTCTTGCGCTGAGTCAACTTGTGTTGGCTCCTTCGGTGGCTCTTCCTCCGCAGCACCCAGTAAAGTGCCGCCATCGATTTGTCTTCACCTTTCGTTCCTTTACGGAAATTGTTCACTCTGCTTCCATACTTTTATGTACTGATCTTATCAAACTCACTTCGATTTATCTCTTTTTACTATTACTTCTTGTGTGTTTAATTTCTTTGCTAAGAACTAAATATAATTTTGGTATGGATTTTTAGTGTTGCACTCCAAATCTTGATGGATTTAAAGTTGTGAAATAAAAAATCCTTCTTGCACTTGAAGGATTGTTTAAGGGCTTCTCGTGCTTACTTTTCCTTAATATTTTCAGGTTTCATATTTTGTCCTATTATGAAAGAAAATAGTTTGCGTTCAATTTCTTCTATGCCTTATAAACCTACCCAAGTCTTAATATTGAATTGTGTTCAATTTTCAACAGTTTATGCAGGAGCGTGACAAGTAGATCTGACCATCAACGACAATGGAGAAAGACTTGGAAATTCTTCTCTAGAGGAGATAGGTGAGAGTTTGATTTTGGACCAAAGAAACTTTAATTCTCTTGTGTGCATTATTTGATGGTCGTAGATTTAAGGGGGATGGGATAGGGTGGTAATAATTTTTTAAAAAAGTAATCCAACCTAGGATGTGCATTTGTGGCTTCCGCAATAGCCAAACAAAAAATATCTCCATAATGTTCCTTTCATAATCTCATGAGGCTTCTCTAGCTTAACTAAATATCATATCTGCTACTAAAAGCTACATGGCTTATGCAATCTTGATTGCTTTCCTTTTGATGAAGTCGATGCCCCTTCCAATTTTCCTCTTGATTGAATTTGTGTTCATTATTACTGAGAATAATGTTATCCTACTCTTTTTATGGTTTCAGCTCAAAGCTTCTTTCCTTAAAAAAAATGTGCCATAATCAGCTTGTGTTTGTGTTTTATCCTTTTTCTTTCCTTTGGATATATGCTTGCTCACTACTAAAAGATTTTACACTGGATTAGTAGCAAAATAATATTATTATTTGATAGGTATGATATGGTATCGTTCTTGGAAAAATCAGGTATGCATTGATTTATCAGCGAGTGCTTGTTTTGTCATGGTGACAGTCAGATAGATATTTATTTTGTGGTTTTGTGATATTACGTTGTAGCTGCTATCATCAACATTATTTTTCGTACTGGAATGCCTCCATGAAACTCCACACTGTATCTATCAAAATAGTGAATTGCCCTCCATTGTTATCAAGAGCGGTGTTAGTATTATACTTTGTGAATCAAGTTGTTGATATTTTTATAGTGCAACACTTAAAATCATTGATCTGACTAATAACCCTACGATAGTAATCTAACTTATATGGTTAGGTTCCTTTTGTTTCTCCATGCTTGAGAATATTACTAATATAGTTTAAATTCTGTGGTTAGGTTCACTATGTGAATATTTTATTTTTTTCCCTGCATTTTGCTCATCTATTGATACTGGAAAAAATTAGAAATTTGCAAATTCATTGCCTATTGCAAATTCTACTTAGTTCATGCTTGCAAATTATCTCCTATTGCACGTGTAAATATTGGCACAATAATAAGTAATGGCTATTACTTCATTACAATAACTACTAGTATATAATTTGTTATCAATCTAACTGGACGCCAATCTAGTCAGTTGATTTATAAATTGCGAGTTTCATATTTATAGATATTCGTGTAAAGATTGAGTTTGTTGAAACTTTCTGTTTCAAGATACCTTGAATGAAAGTAAGACTAAGAAACATACAGATTTTTGGACTTTGCCAAGTATTTTTATGCTTCAAAAGAAATATTATATATATTAAATATTGTTAATATTATGTATACGGTAGATATCGGGGATACGCGATTTCATAGGCTCGGGGATCACTTCAAGAGCGAGTCCGAAATAGACTGGGTCCGAGCCCGATGGCGGAGTTCGAAGTTCAAAGATTAGAGTATTCGATGAATATCAAGGCCGAGCGTGACCAGCCTCGAAATAATGCTGTTGTGGTTTTGTAACAGAAAAGGCGGGATTCCCGCAATGGCACAAAGATCAAGGCATAAATTTCGGGACGGATTTGTACGGAATCGTACTAGGCTGTTAGACAGCTGTCTAATTAGATTCCTTACTAAAAACGGAAATGTACCTTATTTAGGACTCCCCTATTATAAAGTGGAGCCCATTCATTTGTAAAGACATTGAATCATTGTCAAAGAATATACTCTCTTACTTTTCTCGCTCATTGTTCATCAGAATTGTCCTTTAGCTTTATTATTCATACTTTATTGTTCTTAATCTGTCTCGAGGTCACTTCGGCTCGAGGTCGATACCGCCTAGCAACACTGGTTTGATTTACTCATTCCTTTCATTTATATGTTATACTTCTTGATTATTAATTAGTATTGAACTAAATCACATATCTTTAAAACCACAAATCAAATTTAATCTTTACTCGTATTTCGAGGTAAACATATTACAACCCATACAAAATTTGTTAATTCTTCTTAATTCTGGATTCATCATCTGTGTTTAACATACTGAAGTCTTTCCCGTATACTAAGTATTCATCTGAGTTATGGTTATTCATTAATGCATTCAGGAAGCTTACTTGATGACTTTTAGTATGATGTGATTTGGACTTTCTCTTGGTATTTAGGTTGTTGGTTCATAACCACATGAAAAGAGACACATTGGCAAAATTTAGTTGAGGACACAAAGTAGAGAAATGTACTCTATAAGGTTACTTAAGCAATATCTGATAATTTTTCTATCCAGTCATAATTGCTTTATCTTTCAAGTTTCTTGCCCGTAAAATTGTGAAACATATACTACTATTAAACTCGAAACTGTGATTTTATCCACCAGTTATTTTCTCTAAAATCAGTACTCCATTGTAACATATGTTCATCTTCATTAGAATGTTTTATGTTTCATACCACCTGAAAATTAGAAAAATATTTCATACCACCTAGAAGTTTTTGCCTTCTTATTCCTTAGTTTTATCATCTTTGAGGACATTCATAAGGCGAAGCGAAAAGCTTCTTACCTACATATTTATGAAATCAAATGAATTTATTTCTTGTACAAAGAACATTAAAATATCATGTATTATGCAAGAGGGGTCGTACATGCATTCAAAAGTTACTGCTTTCTAACAGAAATAGGGTGTACAAGTAGCTTTCAAAGTTCATTTTCTCTGTTGAATGTATTGTGCATCTGATAAGTGGACTGTGATGAGCTTGCGATTTCCCAATTAGAAGTGTGCTAAGTTGGATAGTCTGTTATTACATATTTCATCAGAAGGTCATTGTTAAGTTTGTAGTCCTCCTAAATAACAAGGCCAACTTAAATAGGATTGTATAAAGTTATTCGCCTGTGGTGGTGTAAAATGTTCTATATCCACTCACTAAAATACATAAGAAATTACTCTGAATGTTAAATGGCTCTATTTGTCATCTCATCCATTGTCTCCTGCCCCTGTAGTACTACTTTTTCACTGTTAATAGAGTTGTGCTTTTGATTGGTGAAAATATTCTCCTTTGAGTTTGCACTTGTATAATATTGGTTTCTATCTAACTTTTAATTCGATTTTGAATTTGTAGGAAAATTCTGGAGATGGGATTGAAAATGATGGACTAGACCAAATTGATTTATCGGAAGCTAATGACGTAGAGTTTTGGACCATTATATATATATATATTTATTTATTTATTTATTTTTTTTCTATTATATAGAAAAGCGAAGTGGGTCGACCAAAGGGTAGTTTCGAAATTTTGCATATATTGAGGGATGAATTGGTAAATTTGCCACTTGGGTCATAGATGCATCTTTGCATCTGAATCAATGTCTCTCTCTTTTAAGAAACACTCCCTCAATCTCTCTCTCCATAAGCTAATTTTTCTGAGATTACATACTTCTTCATTTTAAGGTGAATTTTCTTTTTCATTGTTTATTATGTTTTTGTCTGCTTTTCTTCTCTATCTCTATTTCACAAGACATATATCTAGGGTATAGAGCCCGTTCGGATTGGCTTACTTTAAGTGCTTTAAGCTTTGTGGATTTATCTCCATAAGCAAAGTCACTATATTCATATAGTGACCTTGTGGGCGCAGCGGCGTGGTTGATACGGGAATTTAGGTGAGTTGCATCTTATGAGACGATCCGCAGCCAGTAGAGTCTCCTTTAGAGTACTTGTATTTTCTTTTCTATCCAATTTGTATTCCGGACAGTTATTGTATTGTATTTTAATTCCTAGTAAATGCTTATGCACTTGTGACATCGGGTTCTGGGATGATTATGGGATATTCAGTGTTGAAATTGGAAAAACATTATTATTATTCTGTAAAGTTCATCTTTTACTAGTTAAGTTGAAGGAAATTTATGAATTAAAAAAAATATTAAAATAAGAATTTAATTAATATATATATATATAGAAAAGGAAAGATGGTCGACCAAGGATATATATGTCATTTCAGAAAAACTCCTACATTATTTGTAATTGTTAAATGCAAAGTGTCATTGATACACGTGGACCCCACATTCCCTTAACCATAACACTCCTTTAAATTTTTCATGATTAGACTACTTTTGCAGGGAGTAGTGCATGCAAATACTCATTTGTAACGTTCCTTTTTCCATTTGGTAAAATTACTAATTTTGGTTTAGTCAATTAGAAGTTTACACAGAGAAAGTAAACTTAATTTTTAAATNTATATATATATATATATATATATATATATATATATATATATATATATATATATATATATATATATATATATATATATATATATATATATATATATAAGGAAAGATGGTCGACCAAGGATATATATGTCATTTCAGAAAAACTCCTACATTATTTGTAATTGTTAAATGCAAAGTGTCATTGATACACGTGGACCCCACATTCCCTTAACCATAACACTCCTTTAAAAAGTTTTCATGATTAGACTACTTTGCAGGAGTAGTGCATGCAAATACTCATTTGTAACGTTCCTTTTCCATTTGGTAAAATACTAATTTTGGTTTAGTCAATTAGAAGTTTACACAGAGAAAGTAAACTTAATTTTTAAATAATAGAGCAACAAAAAGAAATATCGGTAAATATTACAAGATTTTCGTATTTAACCAATACTGTTTTAAAGCAATATAGATAAAATTAAAAGGTTTTCATCTATCCACACTATTTGAAGGCGATTTCAATCTAGAAATTTCAATATTCAAAAATAATTAAAAAGTATAGTTTATTAATCTCTAAAGTTAACTTAAGTGATGAAGATTTGGTTCCATACTTTATTAAGGGACTATCTCTTATATGCTTAATGTTACGTGAAAAAGTTAATCTACAATGATTTAACTTATTCTTCCCTGCTAAGTTTTTCAAGTATCAGTGAAATTATCCTAAACATTATTTGATATAATTTTTTTATAGTGTTTCGTTATAAAATTAACAGATGATAAATCTATAAAAAAATAAAAATATTTCTCTTATCTCCTTAATTAAGAAAAAACTAAAAACCCAATAATAATTTATATCGACTTCTATTGAATGTTTAATATCTTATCACCAATTAGCATCATTTAAATGAGTTGTAATAAAATATAATTTGAACTACTATATTGAATCACTACCATTTATATCAAGTTAATATTTGTTTAGTGCCTTTGGTTCTCTTTGTTTGAAGTAGTAAATTGCGTCTTTAGGGATGCAAGTCCCCTTGGAACTTCTCTTTATTTACAGTACTAAATATTTCTCTTGATTTTGTTATATACAAGACATGAAATAAATCATCGTAATTTTTTTTTCATATTTTATCGTATTGAAAGAATGATGTTGTTCATGTTAACTTTCATCAAGTAGCTGATTGTTCCCACTATTAAAACTATTGCGAACCCAATTTAGATGTATTCAAGAATAGTTCAGATAGATTGGTTAAAAAAAAAGCTTCTTATTCTAGAAATTTTGTTAATATAGATGACACTTGTAGGTTTAATGTATACTCTTGTAAAATATTCAAATACATCGGGAAAATAATACCATTGAAATTAAATTTTCAATTTGATTTTTTTATGTTTGATATGGATGTTAAAAATGAGTATTATAACACGTAGTTATTTTATGTTAATTGGAGCAACTTAAACAGATTATAATTTATAGTTTAATTTTAAGTAAATTATTAAAATAAACAAATTATAAATTGTGATCACCAGTATCATCATCTACCCGTGATTATATGAATATAACAAGGATCAATTTATTTATCAAAAAATTAATTGACTAAGAGTACAATGTTGGGTCCGTATACGGACCTTTCCTCATCTAGTATAAGTATATATGATTTTGTAAGGTTAATGGCTGGCAGGTACCTTGAAACAATTGGTTTTATTATTTGATGTAGTATATGAAATATTCCTTCTTCAAAGTTCATTGCAAGTATCTTCATTTGAAACAAATTTTGTTATTTATTAGCTAATGTAGTGCTTGAGATCTCCATACTAAGTTAATACTTATGGAATAAATGTGGTTATATCATATATGAAAAAAGGTAATTTTTAAACATAAAACATAAAATTGATGCTTGCGTAAGGTTAAAATATGTATGACAATGCTACGCTTCAAAAGTATGGTAGTAATGTATAGTATTTAATACCACGTTTTACAAACGTTGCTATTGGAGCCGCTTGGAAAGGATTGCTTATAAGGTGACAATGAGCACGCTTCAAAAGTGTAGCAATAGGACATAAAAAGCGTGGCTATTGTATGTCATGGCCTTTGCCACATGAAAAGCATTGCCTTAGGGCAAATGTTATGCTTGCTTAGGCCACACCCTAAAAAGCGTTGCCTTAGAACAAAAAATGTGGCCTTTGATCAAAGCTCACACTTTGTGATAGTTTAGGCCACACTATTTGAGTGTGGTTCAAGGGTATGCCTCTGTATAGAGAAGTCTAAACATAGTCTTATTGGCATGAGAATTAATGTTATTTTAGACATTCAATGGATAAAGTGAAAGCTGAGATACTGAACTCAACAGCTTGACATGGATACAAAGAGTAAAGAGGGATCTGAGTAAATACCAAAACTCCACACTGCGACAAAGAACATCAGAAATTCATAATATAAAAGTACTCCCTCGTCCCTAACAACTACCTAGTGCAGAAACATTAAACCATTCCCATGATATGCGCGCATCATTCATCATTACTTGTAGCAAATAAATAAAATTATCAACAAAATTGCAT